TGGAGGCAACGCCACACATCTACAACCATCTGATCTTTGACAAACCTTACAAAAACAAGCAATGGGGAAAGGATTCCCTGTTTAATAAATGGTGTCGGGAAAACTGGCTAGCCACGTGCAGAAAGCAGAAACTGTACGCCTTCCTGACATCTTACACTAAAATTAACTCCAGATGGATTAAAGACTTAAACATAAGACCTAACACCATAAAAACCCTAGAAGAAAACCTAGGCAAAACCATTCTGGACATAGGCGTAGGCAAGGACTTCATGTCTAAAACACCAAAAGCATTGGCAACAAAAGTCAAAATAGACAAATGGGATCTAATTAAACTCCAGACCTTCTGCACAGCAAAAGAAACAATTAGAGTGAACCGGCAACCAACAGAATGGGAAAAAAATTTTGCAATCTACCCATCTGACAAAGGGCTAATATCCAGAATCTACAATGAACTAAAACAGATGTACAAGAAAAAAACAAACAAGCCCATTCGAAAGGGGGTAAAGGATATGAACAGACACTTTACAAAAGAAGACATATATGAGGCCAACAAACATATGAAAAAATGCTTATCATCACTGGTCATTAGAGAAATGCAAATCAAAACTACATTGAGATAACATCTCATGCCAGTTAAAATGGCGATCATTAAAAAATCTGGAGACAACAGATGCTGGAGAGGATGTGGGGAAATAGGAACACTTTTACACTGTTGGGAGTATAAATTAGTTCAACCATTGTGGAAGACAGTGTACCGATTCCTCAAGGACCTAGAAATAGAAATTCCATTTGACCCAGCAATCCCATTATTGGGTATATATCCAAAGGATTATAAAGCATTCTATTATAAGGACACATGCACATGAATGTCATTGCCACACTGTTTACAATAGCAAAGACTTGGAACCAACCCAAACACCCATTGATGATAGACTAGACAGGGAAAATGTGGCACATATACACCATAGAATACTATGCAGCCATCAAAAATGATGAGTTCATGTCCTTTGTAGGGACATGGATGAACCTGGAAACCATCATTCTCAGCAAACTGACACAAGAACAGAAAATCAAACACCGCCTGTTCTTTCTCATAGGTGGGTGTTGAACAATGAGAACACATGGACACAGGGAGTGGAGCATCACACACTGGGGTCTGTTGGGGGGAACTAGGGGAGGGACAGCGGGGGGTGGGGAGTTGGGGAGGGAAAACGTGAGGAGAAATATCAGATATAGGTGATGGGGCGGAAGGTAGCAAACCACATTGCCATGTATATACCTATGCCACAATCTTGCATGTTCTTCACATATATCCCAAAACCTAAAATGCAATAAAATATATATTTTTAAAAAAATAAGTATATTGTAAATACACATCACTAGTTGCTAGCAAAAAAAGATGAAAGGAAATTAATATTATAGACTGTATTTACTAACCCAACCCATTCTATCTTAAAATCTGTTCCTAACTTTCCACTAATGGCAATATAATAGCTGAGGGCTTTCCACTCAAAGGCACCAAGTCAGACCCTTTAACTTATCTAATTTTAGTCTGACAACTTTGTAAGGTAGATGGCACACCTAACTGGCATATAGAAAAACTGAGGCTCAAAGAAGTTAGCTAACTTGTCAAAAATTACGTGGCTGCTAAATAAGTGGAGAAGCAAGGAGTCAAACCCAAAGAATGTAATCCCTCATAGACTACATGTGCAAAAGAACAAACTGACTAGCTAGAAGTAGAATAATGCCTCAAAACTGTATTCAAGATTAACAATTTTACATAGTAGAAATATCTAATTTTGAAAATCTGTATTAAAATGGCTCTTAAGTTCTTTCTTAAGTTCTTAAGTTCTTTTTAAAAATAAATACTTATAAAATGACTGGTCTGGATAGCAAAATATCACTACCACAGGGAGAAAGGGAGAAAATTTTCTAGGATAAAAGAAACTAAAGGCATAACAAGTAAATGCAACACACAGCCCTTAATTGAGTCCTGGTAGGAACAAAATGACTAAAAATATTTTGGGCAAAACTGGGAAAATTTGAGTATTAACTCAATTTTAGATTATATGTTTGAATTATTAATATTGTTATAGGTTGATGGTGTTGTGCTACAAAAGAAAGGCTTTTTAGAGATAAATGTGAAATAGAGAGTATCTGTTACAATTTCTGTAGTTTACCTTAAAATACTTCAGCAAAACAATTAAAATATATAGCAAAATGTTAACAATTATGAAAACTAGGGAATGAGTATAGTTGTAGATTGTACTACACTTCTCACTTTTTTACATGTTTGAATATTTTTCAAGACAAAAAATTTTAATTGCTTGTATTAAAAACTTCGGTGTTCATTTTTCAGCTTTAAATACTGTCCTGCACCAGTACTTGGCACCACATTACTTTTTTAAATCCTCTGTCCTTTATTAATTTGTCTTATTGACAAGGAAATATGGTGTTCCATCACATTAACTGTCAGAAGGCAATCACTCTGCTTACTTTGAGAGCCCAACAGGAAAGAGTGGATCATCTGTTCCTGTTGGGAGGACCTGGGCCATGGTTGTTCATTTCTCCATAAGTGCCATCAATCACTGTTGCACACTCATCAAGCACATAAGTTTGTCATTGAGAACCTCTGATCGTCATTGTGTTCGTCAGGAAGAAATTGATGTACAAAGAACTACTGTCATCCTCAGCAAACCACAACTATTCTTTTCTTTTAAAGCAAATTCCTTGACACAAGTGACCTTATCTTAAATCTAATAAATTTCCTATTTCCAAAAAGCTCAACTGGAGAGTTATAAAACTTGAAAATTCTCTTGTGCTTTCTCTTATTTTGCTTCTAGTTGCCATCCTCAAAGGACTGACTAAAAACAAGCAATTGGATTGAACACCCTAAGAGGAAAGATTCACACTGCACCAGGTATGTGAATATTTTTTCTAAATTCCAATTCTAGATTCTAATAAACTAAATAGCTTTCAAGTAATATGCATATAGTAAGTAACAGCAATAGTTGTTCTGACACAGTTATTCTCCTCTTTTCTTTTGAACTGCCAAACTGTGTGATAACATTCAATTCATATGTTATTACAACAAAATGTGATTGGAAGGAATGTTTTTTGGCCTTGAAAATAAAAAAATAATCTGACAATGTATTGGGAAACTGAAGAATAATAAGTAACCATTTCTTTTTTCAATTGGGCCAGATTGTTTTCTTCTTAGTATGCTAGTACTATAATAATACCACTGAGGCTTTATTATGGATAAGGCATTATTCTCAGTATGATTTGTAATACATATTATTCCAGTCAATACTCAGGACATTCTTATAACGTTACAACTCACTCAGAGTCATGCAGTGAGTGGCAGAGTCACGCAATAAGTGGGCAGAGTTTAAATCAAGTCTCTGACTCTAACACCGTTTTATGAACCACAGTATTGTATTGTAAAGTGTGTCTAATCTGACAGCCCACCACCACATTGACATGCACACTAACTTACGTGCTCTAATATGTCATGTCTATATGATTTAACCTTTATTTTTATTTTTTTTCTAAAGCTGATAAGCTGACATGTACATATTACATATATAACCAAAATGAGAAAAATAAAAGACTGCATTCTCTCACTCTTCCTTTCTATGACCTATAGTCAAAATACTAACTCTTTTGCAAGTAGCTATTTTTTAAAAAATATTAAGTCTGCACTATGTACTAGGCATGATGATATAACAATGAATAAAGCGAAATTCCTCTCATTTTGGGATTTAAGAAAAGGATATCAGCCAGACACAGTGGCTCACACCTGTAATCCCATCATTTTGGGATTTAAGAAAAGGATATCAGCCAGACACAGTGGCTCACACCTGTAATCCCAGCATTTTGGGAGGCCGATTTGGGTGGATTGCTTGAACCCAGGAGTTCAAGACCAGCCTGGGCAACACAGTAAACCCTGTGTCTACAAAAAATAAATAATAATAATAATAACAATAAGCAGGAGTCGTGGCATATGACTGTAGTCCCAGCTACTAGGGTGTCCAAGGTGAGAAGATTGCTTGAGCCTGGCTGGTGCAGGCTGCAGTGAGCCATGAGCGTGCCCCTTCACTCCAGCCTGGACAACAGAGTGAGAACCTGTCTTAAAAAAAGGTAAAAGAAAAGGGATCTCAAATAGCAAAATCTTCAGTAGAATTAAATTAGGGGAAGAGTCCATTTGACATGGTTTTTTGTTCCAAGTGACAACCTCATATCACAGAGACAAAGAGCATCTTCCTACAACATCAGTAATCTTTACAAAACTGTGCAGTATTAGGTCATTTATATGATGGTTTCCCAGAGAGAGAGAGAGAGAGAGAGAGAGACGTCTTGAATTAGAATAGAAATAAGAAGAAGATCATTTCCTTCTCTTATTGCTAAACTTCCTAAGATCCTGCCTTTCCTAGCCAATCTTTAATACCAGTTGATGCTTATTTGGCAAACTAGTTAGAAAAATTCTTGACTCTCCTCCATTGTTTCCTCTTTAAAATAATGCATTTTAGGCCTGAAGTAATTTTGCATTACCCCTATGGAATGCAAATGTATACATAATTTTCAGAAACCATTGGCCTCTTTTAGCCTGTACTTTCTAATAACGATAAGTCATTTACCAAAATAAATTCCTCTCCCATAATATCATAACTAATAGTAAGCCAAGTTTCTGCTTTTCCCAGGAGACATCAGAAAGAATGGAAACTCTGCCGCTGTTTGTGTGCATCTGTGCACTGAGTGCTTGCTTCTCGGTAAGAATCTTGAGCAAAAATCAAATATGATTTTTCTTTAAGTATCAATAGTGCCTACCTGGGACTTTTAAAGCGTAATAAGCAATCCCTATTTCTAAGAAGTTTGACATCTTTTATTTCCATGAAACATAAAAATATAGATAATTGGCCAGTGCAGTGGTTCACACCTGTAATCTCAGCACTATGGGAGGCCAAGGAGTGAGGATCACTTGAGCTCAGAAGTTTAAGTAAAATAATGAGTAAAATAATGAGACTGTGTCTCTATAAAAAAACAGAAAAATTTCAATTAGCCAGGTATGATGGTACATGCCTGTAATCCCAGCTACTCGGAGGCTGAGGTGGATCTTGAGCCTGGGAAGTCAAGGCTGTAGTAAGCTGTAATCACACCACTGTGTTCCAGCCTGGGCAACAAAATGAGACTCTGCCTTAAAAATATGGATAAATAGATAGATATAGATAGACAGATAATAGAGCATAAGGAAATAATTTATTCAATATCTATAGAGCACAAACTTTATAATGAGTTTGATGAGATCTGACAGATGAAACTCGGATTTGTAAGGCCTTTAGGTCTTGGTATGGAATACGGATTAAAATCCATCAGGAAGTCTCAGCATGATCAAAGCACCCCCAGGGGAGTAACATGATGGGATTCTCAGGAGAAAACAGGCAGCAGGGAACAAAAGCTGAGATGAGGAGACTTAGTCAGGAAACTATGGCAGTGGTCCAGATAAACGATGATGGTGACTTGCACTAAATGTCAGCAGTTAAAAGATGAGAGTGAGTTTAGGATATATTTTTGTGATTGATTCTACTATATCATTTGCCAGATTGTGTATGTTGTAAAAGAAAGAAATGAACAGGCCAAGTACATTGGCTCAGGCCTATAGTCCTAGCACTTTGGGAGGCTGAGGCGGGCAGATCACCTGAGGTCAGGAGTTCGATACCAGCCTAGCCAACATGGCAAAACCCCATCTCTGCTAAAAATACAAAAATTAGCTAGGTGTGGTGGCTGGCACCTGTAATCCCAGCTCGGAAGGCTGAGGCAGGAGAATTACTTGAACCTGGGAGGTGGAGGTTGCAGTGAGCTGAGATCATGTCACTGTACTCCAGCCTGAGCAACACAGCAAGACTGTCCCCTCCTCAAAAAAAAAATGAACAAAAATGTTCTGGTTTGGGGCATGTTACATTTGAAATGGCTGTTAGATTTCTACATCGAGATATTAAGAAGAAAGGAGATATATATTGTCTGGAGTTCAGAAAGCAATCTAGGGGTAAAGTCATATTTAAAACTATTTGAAGCCATGAGACCTTACAAGATCACCTACAGAGAAAATGTAGGACATTTGGATATGGATTGAGAAAATGGAGGAGTCACAAGAGTGGACAAGAAAGTATGGCTTCCAAAACCAAGAGAAGATTACAAAGTGGACCTTCTATCTTTAAGAAATTTAGGGTGTACTGGCAAAGGAAGGTTAAAATTAATAATGATACAAGGTGATTACAAGGTGATACATGCTGTAATAATAAAAATACTTTTCTCTAACGCCATTTACCTGTAAGTATTTATTCAATTTTATTTTAACAAAATTTCAAATAAGGATCAAGAAGTGGAATGTACTTTTATTGAATGAGGATAGATAGCCTCAGAGTATTATGCCAGCAGAGTAGACAGGACAGAACTGAGGAAGTGGATGGAATTTACTCTTGAATATTCTCTTATTTCCCACTTACCATAAAATAGCCACCAAAAAACAATCTTAGGCTTTTTCCCTGGACCCTAATGCTGACTTTGTGACTGTAGAAGAGCGTTCAAGTTGGGCTCAGAAGATGTGGGCTTAAACTCATCTCTAATGTTTACCATCCAGATGAATCTTGAGCAATTTAGAACCTATTTACAGGGCCCCAATTTCCTTATGTGTAAAATAATAATAACACTATATGCTTCACAAGGCTACTGAAGGGTAAATGGGAATTTATAAATTATAAAGTATAGTGTAAATGTAAAAATTATGGCTTAGGACTATTATAATCTTAACTAACATACTAGTTGATAAAGCTTTAAGTTCTGAATACACACAGTGATAAGGGAGCATCACCTTTACACCCTGGTGCCTGTATTTAGCGGCTTGTACCCACTGAGGGTCAGCAACTGAGCATTTGTTTTTTTAATTACCATGGCTTCAATGAAGCACCGAAATATGTTAATTAGGCAAGGGCCAAAGGCAAGGGCCAAGAAGATTATTAATAGCAAAACAGAAAGTGACATTTTACACCAGACATGGACAAGGAATGTCCCTCAAGGGATGACAATGATGACAGCACAACAGTAGAACAACAAATGCTGTCGGAATAGTTTTAAGACTCCACTTCAGTCCACATTTGCTGATTCAGTGGAGGCTCCTCAAGCTCTGGCTGTGCGTTGACTAGTCAGCTTCAGGTTGTGTGACTAGAGCAGGGCTTGACGAGTTCTCAGGATTCAGCTCGCCCGAGCATGATTTTTGTGGGGTGCCGAGGGTCTGATGTGCAGTCCACCGGTCTAGCAATGTGTTTGGGTGAGCCCTCTTGGCTCTGGAATAGTGTACCCACAAAACGACTCCTGCAACCTTGAGAGCAGTTGGGGTGACAAGGATTACAGTATGGGGCCCTGTCCAGACAGGCTGGAAGGGTTCCTTCTTCCAATCTTTCACCCAGACATGGTTCCCAGGTTGGAAGGGATATACTGGATTGGCTAGGGAGATAGGTGCTTTATTACAAACTGACTGACCTGGGACAGCACCTTTTCTAATGCCTGCAGCTGGGATGTTATGCTTGTTTCCCCCAGCTGTCTGAGGTCTCCCCTCACCTTGTTAACCAGAAGGGGAAGCTTCCGGAATAGGATTTCAAAGGGTGAGTAACTCGCGGGTCCCGACATACACCATGACCGCAACAGGGCTAGGGGAAGCATATCTACCCAGGAAGCCTGGGTTTCCTGACAGAGCTTTGCTAGTGTAACCTTCAGTGTTTGATTTATGCGCTCCACTTTCCCTGACCTCTGTGTCCTGTAGGCTGTGTGAAGTTTCCACTTAATCTTGAGCACGCTGGTGAGGGCTTGATCTTTGCCACAAATGCTGGCCCACTGTCACTGTGTATGGTGAGTGGTATCCCATATCAGGGAACAATTTCACGAAGTAGGACTTTTGCTGCTTTTCAAGCCCTTTCCATCTTGGTTGGGAGTGCCTCAGCCCAGCCCGAGTATGTACATACAAGGACCAGTAAGTATTTGTACCCTTTACTGGGCTTGACTTCAGTGAAGTCCACCTCTATGTCCTCAAAGGGGTAGCTGCTCACCCATTGCACCCCTGGGCAGGCTTCAGCCACTGTCGGGGTTTGTTTTAGCATAGGTAAGGCATTAATTGCTTACTGCAGCACATAGTGTGAGGAGAGTTGCAATATAGTAATGCCTGTTGAGTAAGGTCTCCAGAGCAGTTTTACCTAGGTAGGTGAGATCATGGCACTGAGTAATGACAGTATGAGCCAAGTTCCTAGGCACCACTGATCTGTCGTCAGGGAGTAGCCACCATTCTCCAGAACTCTACTTTGCCCCCTCCTGCTGTGCCTACAGGTTGGTTGGTTTGTTTGTTTGCTTGTTTGTTTGTTTTTAGAGTGCTCTGGCTTTCCCACAACCTCTCAGAGCCAAGGGATGACTGTGAACAAGTGGGTGGAGGCCTGCACAGACCCTTTCTTTGGTGCTGCTGCCTTAGCTTCTCGGTCAGCCAGCCAGTTTCCTGTAGAGAAAAGATCAGTTCTTCTTTGGTGGCCCTTGTAATGTATGACAGCCACCTCTTTGGGCTTCCAAACTGCTTCTAGTAGTTTGAGAATTTCTTCCTTATTTTTGACTTTTTTTCCTCCTACTGTTAGCAGCCCTCTTTCTTTGTATATCGCCCCATGAATGTGGACAGTTGCAAAGGCGTACTTGGAGTCAGTGTAAATTTGACCGCTTTGCCTTCCACGCAGCACAGGGCCTGAATGAGGGCGTGTAATTCCGCCTGTTGTGCTGACCAGCCTCTGGGCAAGGGGGCTGCCTCGACCACTTCAGTGGTGGTGGTGACTGCATGCCCTGCATACCTCTCCCCATTATGGACATAGCTGCTTCCATCGGTGAACAGGTTTAAGTTTGCCTTTGCGAGGGGACAGTCCTTGAAAATCTAGGACTGTGGGCTTAGACTGACTTTTCCCCATGATGTGTGTCCCCTTTTGAATGGTGACGCAAGACAGACAAAGGAGGGGTGTCCCGTGAAGGACCACTCAGATGCCCACCTGGCTGCACCCCTTGTGGGAACTTAAGCGCCTCTTAGCAGTCAGCGGGTTGGTATAATCCCCCGACTCAGATCGAGCTAAGCTTGCGCTCAGCTCGATGCCGCCATAAGCCATATGAGGTTCACCACAGAAACGCAGGCTGGGGCCCAGCCGAGCTCCATAGTTTGCACTGTGGAGCTACAGATTGGAGGTGCAAGAGCAGGCTGTTGAGCTCCCCACACACTCACACACTCACTCAGAGGTTATCACATTCCCACCCTAACCCGACAAACCGACCTGCTGTCTCCAAATGGAGACCCCCCTGGAAGGTGATCAGGCTCCCCTTCTGTCCGTAGATGGGCCTGGCCAGAGTCGGTCCCAGGACCTTGCCTTATCTGGAGTCCCCTTCAGTTCAGTCCGTCTCCCCAACGAGTCCGGCGAGCAGCAACACCGGAGCAGCGGCAGTTCCCCTTCCAGGGAAGGAGGCCCTGTCGAAGCTTACAGGTGGGCCCTGCCGCATTCCCCGGCGGGGAACCGGCGAGCTGTCCGTCCTTTCCAACCCCAAACCGGCGGCTCCAAGGGGCCAGCGCGGTTGAGTTTCCCGGTCAGGGAACCGAATGTTGCGGAAAGTTTTACCTGACAAGAAACCCAAGCGGCACTCAGGGAAACGGAGGAACACACTTTATACGCCGGCGGGCCCAGAAGGGCTCACACCCAAAAGTCTGGACCCCATCTAAGAAAAGTACACAGTTTATAGGTGAAGGGGCAGGGGAGGTAACTCAGAACTTTAGACAACGCAGCAGGCTTTAGACGACGCGGCAGTTTTCCTTAAGGTTTTTAGCTAGTAAGCAATAAGCTGAGGTACAGAAGCAGAAAGAGGCAGTTATTAGCAGAAAAACAGGGGCAGTTTTAAAATAGGCAAGTTGCTGACTATGTGCTAACAAAATCCTGGGCAAAATTTCCACTTCAAGCCTACTGTTTCCACGTTCCTCACGACTTCTCCCTCTTCTCTCAAAACTACGGTTTGCAAATGGAGAATTATTCTCCAAAAAGTTACTTAGTCTGAAACTCAGCTTTCCCATCCGTATAATGAAGATAATAGCAGTACACACCTTATGATATTGCTAAGAAATTAAATAAATTTGCATTTGTAAACCACATAGAATAAGGCCTAACATAAAGTAGGTGTTACATAAAGACTTTTTTAATAAAAATAAATAACAGATGTGAACAGGCAGGCAGGGTTGTTATCTTTCATACACTCTGCCTGGCATATCTCTATTTATTATAAGCACCTCCATACTTCAATCATCTAAACTCAAAACTTTAGAGACATGCATTTTCAACTCCTTCCTCTCTCAGACTTCTCTAAATCCAATTCTAATACACAAGTTCTGTTGTAGCCACCTGTAAATGCCAATCATAATGACTAATCAATATATTAAGTAAATCAAACAAACTGGTCATTTGATACATGTTCCTGGCCAACCTAACATTAAAATTAATGGGATTTTAATTAATTTGCCTTCATATAAAAATGTGATATGTATTATTTTGGTCACCTAAACTAAAATTGTTGAAACTATTTTACATATGAATAAACATTTTTAAATGTTAACATTTTATTCAATAAGAAATTAGTTATTGTTATCATTTGATGCATTTACTCATTCAATTAATAGCTAATGAGTATCTGCCATATGCGAGACATAGCTTTAGATATTGGGCTTACAGATGTGAATGAAACAGGGACCTTCGTTAGGCCCATGTGATTAAGGGAATGAACCACATAACTATTTTAAAGCAAAGAGGTCGTAGAATTAGACTTTAGATCTGGAATTTAATTTAATCCAAATCATTTCATGAATAAGCTGACATCCAGGCACATTAAGTGACTTGCCCAAAGTCACTCAGCTGTTCTGTGGCAGACACAGGACAGAACCAAACCTCCGCTGATAGTCTGTTGTGGCATGTTTCAGACATGTTCCTCTGAGATCTGGACATTCTTCACAACATCCTCAGAGACCATCTGGAAAGGGAGAGACTGAGATCGTGGAATGTGAGGCCTCAATCCTGCTTCAATCAGAGCAGGTCTCTAATTATCTGGATTGCATATTGAATCTCCAGGGAAAGATCCGTTTGAACAATATGACCTGTTTATTTTATACGAGAAAACAACTACCCCTGTAATGGAAAGGATCTCCTCAGAGATTCCTGGAGTCAGTGTTACCGAGTCTGAAAATCTATGCCCTTTTAAGAGATCTATGGAAAAATACCTCATGAGTATCAGAAGCCATTGTGTTATCTAATGGCTGTTCCCAGTTATTAATTAAAATTTTCTGGATAATTTAATTTTCTAAACAAACAATACTTTCTTGTATTGATGGATGTTGTAAAGAACATCTAGATCTTAGAGGAACATGTTTGAAACACACTGCAACAGACCAGCAGTGGAGGTTTGAGTCTGTCCTACGTCTGCCAATGAAGAACTGAATGACTTTGGGCAAGTCACTTAATATGTCTGCATTTCAGCTTATTCATTTATGAAATGATTTGGATTAAATTCCAGATCCAAAGTCTAATTCTACCACCTCTTTGCTTTAAAATAGTTATGTGGTTCATTCCATTAATCACATGAGTCTCACGAGAGTCCCTGTTTCATTCACCTCTGTAAGCCCAATACCTAGAAGCTATTTTTGAGGCTGGATATATTAGTAGCTGAGGAAGTTATCTTAGTTATACAATTCTGCCAGTCTCTCAGAAGTTGTCATTTCATCGCGCTAAAGTTTGTATACAAAGGGAGCTTATAACTTGGGACTGGAATAATTTACCCATTTGGTGATCTAAAAAGGGTTTTGTGGAAATCATTAGGAAGAAAACCTATCCTTGTTTGGGACTTTGGTATTTTCTCATTTATCTTGTTAATATTTATTTTTTCCAATTTAATATAACTGATCACTAAAAAATGTAGTATGAGATTGAATACAGGGAAGAGGGATGTAAAAGGCATGCAGTATGTTTACAGATAAGAAACTGAAACAGTGATGGTACTCTAACTCAAATAATATCATCAGTGGCTAAAGGAAATAAAAATATTCATCTTGTAAAATATAAGACCCACATGGCATAGAAGTTATTTTCAAATTTTGAAGGACTCCTGGATCTTCTGTAAATCTACCAAAACATAAAATTAGGACCAAAGAATGGAAATCTTCATGAAGAAATTTCTATTCAGTTAAGAATGGAAATCCCCAAAAATAAACCTACATTCGGTATCAAGAAGAAGTCTCTACCAGGCTGCTTTAGGAATTACAGTAGTCAGTTCCTTATCAGAAGAGGATAGATGCATAGACTAGAAAGCCTTTTTCCAGTGTATTGAAAAAAGATCAAGTATCAGATGAACAGTAGACTAGATCAGTGTTCTTTTCATATGTAAACACCTTTGAGAAATCATGAAAACCACTGGTGCTCTATTCAGACAAAAATGCACAAACATGCAAATTTTCTCTAAAAATCAGATGATTCATAAACCCCCTGAATCATGAATTCTGTAATTCTAATTTTTTAAATAATAAAATTAAAAGGTAATGACCAAAGTTGTTTCTCTGATTTATAAAGGCTAAAAACTGTTTCCTGAAATATGGAGAACACAAAGCTGGGGTGGGATATTTCGTTTGTTGGGGATTTTGTTGTTGTTTCACAGTTTCATGTTTTGATGATAGTAGATATGAGGGGTGTAATTCAGAAAGGGCTCCCGGATCTCAGTGGAATGTCTTTAACTAAAGTTTTGTGAACAGGCTGAGCAAGCAGGGAGCCTTTTTGCTGGGACCTCAGGCAGTAAATTGACCATTTTCTACCAGAGAAAGAAGAGAGGAACTGTAACCATAAAAGTTCATGTCCAGCTAAGCATTCAAGCTGAAGTCCACAAGAATATATTCATCCCAATTATCTAGAAAGTAGACATTTGACAAAAGAAAATTCTCTAGTAGCAATTCTTTCTTGAAACTTGGTGAAATTAGGAAGCTAATCACTTGACTTAATAATGTATTCTGGTTTCTAATCCCAAAACTCCACAAATACTGTTCATCTCATGGTCAGCAGTGATCACCTAACTGATAAATAAATAGACACTTTTTTTCATTTCTTATATTTTCTTTCTTTTCTGCAGTTCAGTGAAGGTCATAAAAGGGATCACGAACTACGTCACAGAAGGCATTATCACCATTATCCCGAAAATCACTCTAAATTACCACACCATCCTGGACCGCTAGCTCACCACAAGCCAGTCAACCAAAACCCCCATAAGTGTCTACACAAACGCTGTAGGCCTAAGCCTCCGCCTTCACCTATTAAACCCCCACACATATTCCCAAATCCTCACCATCCACCTCATTGTCCAGATAAAAATAACGGTGTGGCCAACCATACCATATTGGCTACAACGCAAATTCCACCTACGAGTTCCCCATCTGCTTCCACCAAAATTACTACCCTTCCAAATGTGACTCCTCCTCCTCAAAATGCTACCACCACATCTTCAGGAGAAAATGTTAACCCAAGCTCTTCTGTAACTACATTAACACCAGAGAATTCCTCAGCTCCAACAGAGGCCACAACTGCTCCATCCATACCTTCTGCAACTACACCAGCTCCACCACCTTCCTCAACTCCACCGGAGACTGCAACTGCCCCACCCACACCTTCTGGAACTACACCAGCTCCACCACCTTCCTCAACTCCACCGGAGACCCCAACTGCCCCAGTTACCACACCTAATTCTTCCCCAACTACTGTTACACCTGACACAACTACACCCACACACCAAACTACTACTTCAGTCACTGCTCAAACTACTACTTCTAACCAGCCAACTTCAGCTGTCACCCAAAATAAAATTTCTCGATTTCTTTTATATCTAAAGAGTCTACTAAACCAAATGATTGATGATGCAGTGAAGAAATAGTATATTATATGTTGTAAAGTGTTCTGTCATTTTCAAGATGTGATTTATGAGTACAGAACTACCATCTTTACTTTTAGCACCAATCCCAAGATGAAATTTTATTACTCTAATTTAAAGCACTACCACTAACCTTTCAATCTAATTATTCACCACCACAAGACCTATTAACAAGACAAACTGCCTCTATCCTACAAGCCAGGTGCAGGTTTGAGATTCAAAATCACTCTTTGGGGCCTGCAGAGATAGCCTACTGAGGGCAGAGAAATTCCTTAGGTAAAGAGAGAGTATTGTATGGATCATCAAACATTTGCTTCTCCCTAAATGTTGGAAACTACAAGATCACTACCTTGTACCCCCATCAAAATCCCACCTGGACCATCTAATCCTATAAACATAAAGGGATAAAGTTGGATCTCTCCAGATGAACAAAGACATCTAAATATGTAGATAGAAACATTTATCTATCTAAATCTATTGGTAGACCTGTCATTGTATTGTTGATTAATAACAAACCCTTTAGATAATTATATTTAGTTTTAAATAAAATTTTATTTCACAAAGTGTGAGCCAAGAAAGGGGAAAGTTGATCTGAAGTGAAGATTAGAAATGAATAACAAAAGCCTGGCAGCCAAGTATGAACCAAGACTGGCACCATTTTTCTGAGTGTATATAATTGTTTAAACTGCAAGGTTGACATTTATTACATTGTATCTAAGTTAACTTAGATCTGATGTACTTGATTCTAGCCTCTGTGAACCATAAGAATACAACTTTGTATGTTCACACGGTGCTCATAATATTTCACTCTCAATTCAGTTAATTCACATAAATTCCATGTGAAATGTATTCAACAATGGAATATTTTCTAAAACATTTAATATATATTTGGATGTATTTTAAAACATACCAAACTACTGCTTTAATGCCAAGTTTGCAGAATTGTCTCTGAATATAAAAAGCCCTGACTTTAGTTGTAAAAGAATAAAAGTTAGCTACTTGGTATATGGAGATGTTCATTTGGGATGTGGAGGCAATTTTATCTTCTGTCACTACTACTTAAAACTCTGATGATTATGTTTAATTTTTTGCTAACTAATAAAGATTTCAAATGGCAATTTATATTCATCTTGTGTATCTGGAAGTTTCTTGCCTTTCTTAGTCTCTGAGACTAGCGAAAAGAGACCTAAATGAAGATTTACATTTTTGTCAACTCTGCCACTAATCAGCCAAGTGACTCGGATAGGACACTCTATCTCTAAACATTAATTTTCTTTATTCTACAAACAAAGTGATTAATTTACTTAAATTAACTTAATCTTATTAACATATATTTCCAATCCAAATTATGTGTGTGCCCTATGCTTCTCAAGCTGACAATTAAAGATCCCATCTCCTTCACTTTACTGTGTCCACCTAGGCTCATCTTGGTAGCTCCGTATAGATCAGCCCATGACTGATCACTGCAGGAATACTGAAACCTGACCATTTCTGCCCAAAATAGAACTCCTGCAACAGGCAGTCTTTGCTTCAGATTCAACTCTCCTATTTGGCCTGTGCAGAAGACAAATGGATCTTGGAGACTTTACAGTAGATTGTCAAGAACTTAACTGAGTGGTGACTCCAACTGCAGCTGCTGAACCAGATATGGTTTCATGGCATTAAAAAATTAACATATCTCCTGGTACCTGGTATGCAGCTATTGATTTGCCCATGCTTTATTTCTTGATACCTGTTACTAAAGACCACCAGAAGCCATTTTCTTTTGGTTGGCAAGGCTGGCAATATACGTTCCCTGTCCTACCCCAGGAGTATATCAGCTCTCCAGCCTTAAGTCATAATCTAGTTCACAGATCTTGATCACCTTTCCTTCCACAAAATATAACACTGTCATCACACTGATGACATTATGCTGGTTGGACACAGTAAGTGAGAAATAGCAGACACTCTAGATTTATGAATAACACATTTGTGTGTAAGGTGGGAAATAAGTGTGATGAAGAATCCGGGGCCTTTTATTGTAGTGAAATTTCTAGGGGTCCGGTGGTGTGGAGCCTACTGAGTTATCCCTTCCACGGTGAAGGATAAGTTGTTGCATCCGTCCCCTTCAACAATTAAGAAAGAAGCCTATTTGGATTTTGGAGGCAACACTGTCCTCATTTGGCTGTGTTACTCTGGCCCATTTACTGAGTGACCTGAAAAGCTGCTAGTTTTGAGTGGGGTCTAGAACAGAGACGGCTCTGCAACAGGTCCGGGCTGCTGTGCAAGCTGCTTTGTTACTTGGGCCACATCATTCAGCAGATTCAGTGGTATTTGAGGTGTCAGTGGCACAGGGGGATGCTGTTTGGAGCCTTTGGCAGGCTCCTACAGGTGAATTATAGCAGAGGCTTTTAGGATTTGAGGGCAAGGCCTTGCCATCCTCCACTGGTTTTTTGAGAGACAGGCTCTGACTTGCTACTGGGCTTTAGAAGAAACTGAATATATAACCATGGGCCACCAACTACCATGTGACATAAACTGCCTATTATGAACTTGGTGTTATCCAACCTACCAAGCCATAAAGTTGGGTGTACACAGCAGCACTCCTTCATCAAATGGAAATGATGAGCCCCAGCAGGTCCTGAAGGCAAAAGTAAGTTGCCTTATGAAGTGGCCTAAGTGTCCATGGCTCCTCCTGCTACACTGCTTTCTCTCTCCCAGCCTGCACCTGTGGCCTCATGAGGAATAACCTATACTCAATTGACAGAGGACGAGAAGACTAGGGCCTTAATGAAAGATGGTTCTGTATGATATGCAGGCACCACTCAAAAGTGGATGGAAAATCAGTGACAAAGAACTTTGAGAAAGAGGTATGTGGATAGATCTCAGTGGGCAAAGGATATGAAGATATTTTTCAGCCATGTGAATGCTCAGCACAGGAGGACTTTAATAATCAAGAGGATAGAATCACCTGTTCTGTGGCTACCAGTCAGCCTCTCCTTCCCAGGCACCCTGTAATCATCTAACGGGTTTATGGCAATGGTGGAGGGGATAGATGTTATGCATGGGCTCAGCAACATGGACTTCCACTCACCAAGGATGACCTGGGTATGGCCACCACTGAATGCCCAGTCTGCCAGCCTAAGCCAACACTGAGACCCTGATTTTGCACCATTCCCTGGGGTGATCAACTGGCTGCCTTGTGGCAGGTTTGCACTGGATGGCTGCCATCATGGAAGGGGCAGCATTTTGTCCTTTCTGGAATAGAAAATCTGGATGCAAATTTGCCTTCTCTGTATGCAATGCTTCTGCCAAAACCACCATTTGCGGACTTAATGAATACCTTAGCCTCAGTCATGGTATTCCACACAGTATTGCTTCTGACCAAGGAACTTGCTTTACAGCCAAAGAAGTGTAATAGGTTCATACTCACGCTAATGCTCATAGTCTTAACAATATTCCACATCATCCTGAAGCAGCTGACTTGATAGCTCAGTGAAATAGTTTTTTGAAGTTGCAGCTACAGTGCCAGGTAGGTGTGAGTACTTTGCATGGTTGGACCAGTTCTCCAGAAGGCTTCAATGCTCTGAATCAGCATCCAATGTATGACACTATTTCTCCCATAGTTAGGATTCACATGTTCAGGAATCAAGAGGTGGAAATGAGAGTGGCATCACTCACCATCACCCGTAGCAAAATTTTTGCTTCCTGTTCGCATGACATTATATTCTGCTGACCTAGAGGTCTTAGTTTAAGAGGAAGGAATTCTTTACTAGGAGACACACAATAATTCCAAAGAACTGGAAATTAAGACTGCCACCAGCCAGTTTAAGCACCTCATGCCTCCAAGTCAATAGGTTAAAAAGAGAGTTAAAATGTTGATCAAGGTGACTGATCTGCGCTACCAAGGAGAAATTGGACTTGTACTCCACAATGGAGGTAAAAAAGTGTATGTTTGAAATACAAGAAATCCTTAGGATAGTCTCTTAGTATTATCATGTCCTGTAATTAAGGTCAATGAGAAATAACAACAACCCAATCCAACAACAGCCCAATCCACGCAGGGCTATGAATGGTCTAGACCCTTCAGGAAGGAAAGTTGGGTCACCCCACAAGGAAATATATCAACCACAGGAAGGCAAGGCAAAGAGAATAAAGAATGGGTAGTAGAAGAAGCTAGCAATAAATACCAGCTATGGTACTTACCACTTCCTGGTAAGGCAAAGAGAATAAAGAATGGGTAGTAATAAATATCAGCTATGAGCACATGACCAGTTACAGAGACAAGAACTGTAATTGTCATAAGCATTTCCTCCCTATTTCATTAAGAACATGTTTGTGCATACACACATACACACACATATGTATATATATACGCATATATTAAACAAATATTTTTATTTTCTTTTGTCTGTTATTCTTTTATCATGTAACCTAAGATTGATTGAACTTTGGATCAGCACTTAAGTATTATATATATATATATGTATATATATATATATATATATATGTAAAACATCATAGTAGTTTTCCCATCTATTTCATTTCTAGGAACACCATGATTAATTAGCAAACACCATAGGTCTACAGGAGTCAGACTATTCTGACTGTTGCTTTGCCTCTGCTGTCCATTTTGGTAACTATACCCCCATTTTCCTAGGCAGCTGATTGCCACCACTTGGCTCCTGCCACCTCAGAATCCAATTATTCCCATTGCATTTCAGTTTTCCAGTTGAGTGGCTACAGTCCTTACTGTAATGTCTAAAATAATAGAGAATGGCTATCACAGAGCTTTTCAAGGATTCTGATGCTCCCCTCACAAATCTATTTCTCAAAGCATTCATGAAAAGTGTATCTTATGAACGCTCCCAGTGTGAGTGAGCAGATTTTATATGACAAATCAACTTTAGCATTTTAATCTCCCTAAGCCTTTGAATCCCTTCCTGTACATTAAACAGTGGGAGATCAGGCTTCTTCATCTTGTTCACAGTGGGTTATGTTTTGACTCATGTTTCAGCCAACCAACAAACCAGTTAGTGCCTTAACTCCCAGAGCTGCAACATTAAATGCAGAATCTCTGCCTAGTGGGCCCATGTCAATAAATTCAGCCTCAACCAACTTTATATCCCTTCCACCCTTATCCCACACCCTTAATCGCCATTACCACATATCTTCCCCAGATTTCTGCTTGTATAAATTATAAAACTCAGGTGGTTCTCTTGGAATGCAATGCATCTCCTCACGGGCCATACCTTGTACGTACATACCTTGTACGTCCCCTGCTGGGACCAGAGTCTTGTTATAGGTATAGAAACAAAAAGGGGTGCTGGTGGTGGGTTCCTAGGAGAATCAGCATTGTCTTGTCTGGTAACTGCCTCAGAGGGCGTCATTGCTGTTTCTCAGGCAATGCAGTTAATCCCCTCAGACAGAGGTGTAACGGCCACTGTGGGAGGGGATGGAGATGTGACTACCACTGGGGATGGGAGTCCACTTCCCCTGGCAAAAAAAAAAATACTCATCAGAATACCTCTATGTCCCCAGAGGTATCAGGGTCTTCCCACACATTCCCATCCCAACTTACAGGATCTCATTCTTTCCCAGTCAATGCCCTCACTTTAATAGTATATACCTTAGCCAGGCGCAGTAGCTCTCACCTGTAATCCCAGCACTTTGGGAGGTCGAGGCAGGAGGATCACCTGAGGTCAGGAGTTCAAGACCAGCCCGGCCAAAATGGTGAAATCCTGTCTATACTAAAAATACAAAAATTAGCTGAGCATGGTGGTGGGCACCAGTAATCCCAGCTACTCAGGAGGCTGAAACAGGAGAATCCCTTGAACCTAGGAGGCTGAGGTTGCAGTGAGCCAAGGTCATGCCACTACACTCCAACTTGGGTGACAACTCCAGCTCAAAAAAAAAAAAAAAGTAGATACCTTGTAAGGCTGAAAGTTCACCTTTCATTGTAAGACATCCAATAGCATGATAAAGGCTTGTGTTTTATGGCCCAGACTCTTGAGTCCATAAAAGGCCCCAGACAATTGTATGGTGTCTGCCCACATTGAAGGTGGATCTTCCTTCTATTCTGAGTCCATAAGAGGCTTCAGACTCAATTTCAACCCTATGGCTACATGAGAGAACATTCTCCT